ACATTCACAAATGATAAGACTATACAGAAACCCCCCCAAAACCAAATTATTAGAAATAAAGAGAAAATTTGGTAGAGTAGCTAGAGATATACATGTATTTATATACCCCAGAAAAAAAACTAGAAAATACAATGTTAAAGTCTTTATTATGACACTTTTCAAACATACACAAAAATTGGGAGAATAGTATAATGTACCCCCACCTACCCATTACCCAGCTTTAACAACTATTAATGTTTTACCATTCTTCTTTCATCTTAGTACAGGGATTGAACCCTGGACCTTGGTATTTTCAGCACCACCAACACACTCTAACCAACTGAGCCAACCAGCTGGCCCTTCTCCCACTTTTTAAATGAACTACTTAAAACTAAAAATAGTGACATGATGTCATATGAACTATTTTAAACAAACATCATGTCACTTTACCAGTAAATATTAACTATGGATTTCTAATAAAGGCCTTGTCTTTCTACCATAATGAACACCATTTTAACATATTAACCTAAGCAAATTAACATCAATATCTTATTATCATCTAATATCCAGTCCAGATATTAAAATATCTCCAAGTGCTTCAAAAATATCTTTTTACAGTGGTTTGATAAGCCATACTTTTTTAAAAAATACCACCTATAATAGCAATAAAAATAAGATGTGTAAGGCTTATACAAAAGAAACGATAAAAGCTTTATAGAAATTCTTTAAAGAAGACAAATAAATGGAGTGATGTGCCACGTTCAAGGACAGGAGTATTCCATATCTTTAAAATAGCAATATTAAACTATAAATTCAATGCAAGTCTCATCAAAATCTTGATGGGGTTTCAAGGAACTTGAACTCTAATTCCAAATTTTATATGAGAAAGCAAAATCTAAAGAAAAGCAAAGAAGCATACAGTGGGTATTTGCCCTACCAAATACCAAAATGTATTACAAAGCAGTATTAAGATAGTATGGTATCAGAGGAAGGATATAATGAAATAGAGTCCACAAGCAAACTCATGAAAATACCAAAGCTTGATGTGGCACTGCAGCTTTCTTCTTAAAGGAGGAAGAACTTAATAAATGGTGCTAGAACAATTTGTTATCCTTATGGAAAAAAAGATGAAGAAAAAAATTGAATCCCTGTCTCACACTATACCCCAAAATCAAGTGCAGAAGAATTAAACACTTAAGTGTAAAATGCAAAAATTTAAATTTTTAGAAGAAAATAAAGAATATCTTTATGACCTGAGGGTAAGGGAGAATTCTTAAATAAACACACACAGATGCACAAATTCTAGATGAAAATATTTATAAATTCAACTATATTAGAATTAAGAGTGCTGCCAGTTAGCTTGGTTGGTTACAGTGCAGCCTTATAACCCCAAGGTCATGGGTTCAGATCCCTATACTGGCCAGCCACCAAAAAAAAAAAAGAAAAAAGAAAAGAAAAAATTAAGACATTGGAAAAGTGGAAGAAAAACTACAAACTGGGAGAAGATATTTTGAACACATACAATTTACAAAGGATTAGTATCCAAAATGTATAAGGAATGCCTAAAAATCAACAGCAAACAGTAAGCAACACAACAGAAAAATGGGCAAAAGACAAATAGGCATTTTACTGAAGAGGAAATACAAATAGACCATACGGTTTGAATGATGGTATCCTCTCCAAAATTCATGTTGAAACTTAATCCTCAGTGCAACAGTATTAAGAGGTGTGGTCTCTGGGAGGTGATTAAGTACTAAGGGCTCTGCCTCATGAATGGGATCAGCACCGATAGACCATACGGTTTGAATGATGGTATCCTCTCCAAAATTCATGTTGAAACTTAATCCTCAATGCAACAGTATTAAGAGGTGTGGCCTCTGGGAGGTGATTAAATACTAAGGGCTCTGCCTCATGAATGGGATCAGCACCGTTATAATAGGTCTCAAGTGTGAAGAGAGCATCTTCTAGCCCTTCCATCCCTTCCACCATGTGAGCACACAGCATTCCCACCCTCCAGAGGATGCAGCAACAAGCCACCATTTTGGAAGCAGCAAGAAGCCTTGACCAGACAAGGAATCTGCTGGTGTCTTGACCTTGGACTTCCCAGCCTCCAGAACTGTGAGAAATAAATTTTTATTGTTTATAAATCATCCACACTCAGGTATTTTGTTATAGCAACACAAACAAACTAAGACAGATACTCAAGTATCTTAAGTACTTAAGTATGGTTGTGCAACAGATCTCCAGAACTTTTTCATCATGCAAAACTGAAACTCTATACCCATTAAACTACAACTCTCCATTTCTCCCTCTCCCCAGCCCCTGGTAACCACTATTCTACTTTACGTTTCTATAATTTGACTACTTTAGATACCTCACGTTATGAGTTGAATTGTGTCCCCACCAAATTCATATGTTGAAGCTCTAACGCCCAGTATCTCAGAATATGACTGTTGAAGATAGGGCCTTCAAAGAGAATATTAAGATTAGATGAGGTCATATGGGTGAGCCCTAATCCTATCTGACCAATAATACCTTATAAAATTAGGAAATTTGTTGGACACACAAAAGAAACATCACAGATGTGCACACACAAAGGAAAGGCCACATAAGGACACAGTGAGAAGGTGGCCATATACAAGCCAAGGAGAGAGGCCTGAGGAGAAACAAAATCTGCCAGCACCGCGATCTTGAACTTCTTGTCTTCATAACTGTGAGAAAATAAATTTATGCTGTTAAAGTACCCATTTTGTGGTATTTTATTATGCAACCCTAGAAAAGTAATATACCTCATACAATTGGAATCATATAGTATTTATCTATTTTGTGACTGGCTTATTTCACTTAATATAATATCTTCAAGAGTCATCCAAAATTGGAAAAGGACCACAAAAAATGACTACATGTGTAATGTTGAATATACTAATTATCCTGATTTAAGCATCACATATTGCGCACAGGTACTGATAATCAACACTGTACCCAACAGATATGTACAACCAATTATGTTTCAATAAACAAGAAAAAAAAAGTCACCCATGTTGTAGCAGGTGACAGGATTTTCTTACTTTTTACAGATGAATAACATACCACATTTTATTCATCCATTCATCCACTCATGGACATTCGGGTTGTTTGTACCTCTTTGCCATTGTGAGTAATGCTGCTGTGAACATGGGTGTGCAAATATCTCCTTCAGAGCTTTTGGCTGTGTATATCTACAAATGGATCATCTGGTAGTTCTATTTTTAATTTTTTGAGAAATTGCCATACTGTTTTCTAAAACGGTTGCCCATTTTATAATCTCACCAACATTGCACAAGGATTCCAGTTTCTCCCCATCCTCTCCAATATTTGTTGTTTTTTGATAGTAGCTGTCCTAATGCGTGTGAACTGAAATTTCATTGTGGTTATGATTTGCATTTCTCTAATTTGCTATTTTAAAAAAGCAGACTAAGACCTCTCTGAGGTACCATTTACACTCGCCAAATTAGAAAAATTAATCTGATAATAGCAAGTGTTGGTGAGAACAGACATTTTTTTTAAAAACTCCTACTTGCTTCTAGTTGGCATGTTGACATGTGCATTATTAACAATCTATTTGGTAATAATTTGGTATTACCTTGTAAGAGGAACATTCATGTTCCCTATTCCTCTGCGATTCCACTCCTAGGTAGTCCATTCCTATAGTGTTTTTCAAACTTTGGGTCACCACTCATTAGTGAATTCTTTAATCCATTTACTGAGAGTCACAAGCATTTTTTTATAAACTGGAGAGGTAAATATTGTTTTATTATTTTTTGAAACTTTTGTTTTATAGGAGAGTGCATTTACTGGTTGAAACATCAGTAACATTTCTTACACTATGGGTAGTGGTCATAAAGTTTTAAAGCCTCTCTTACTAAATTCTTGCACATGTGCACCAGGAAAATGTATAAGAATATATATATATATATTTATATTTATATTTATTTATTTATTTTATTTATTTTTTTTAAAGATGACCAGTAAGGACATCTTAACCCTGGACTTGGTGTTGTCAGCACCATGCTCTCCCAAGTGAGCTAACCGGCCATCCCTATATAGGGATCTGAACCTGTGGCCTTGGTGTTATTAGCACCGCACTCTCCCAAGTGAGCCACGGGCCAGACCTAGGAAAATGTATAAGAATATTTATAGAACTATTGTTCATAGGAACAAAAAGTTGGAAATAACCCAAATGTTCAGTAGAATTGCGAATGTTTGGAATATTCCCACAATGCAAATCTATAAAGCAATGAAAATGAATGTATGAGTCTCACAAACACTTCCTTGAGAAAAGATTACAAAGACTGATATTTTTATAAAGCTCAAAAACAAGTAAAACTGAACAATATGTTGTTTAGAGATATACACATGGGAATGGAATAAAAAGTACAGATTAGTAAATAAGTAATAATAAATAAAAATTGGGAATATATTTGGCAAGCGGTTGAAATGGGGAAGAAAATGGATAGACGCAATCGTATTGATAGCATCCTAGTTAAGTGCATTCATGGATGTTCATTTTATTAATATGCACCATAATTTAGATTTATACTAAACATTATTAAGTACACACGATTACATGATTTACATATTATCACAATGCTCATGCTTATTAAAATGCTCAGAAAAGTATATATCCTCTTTTAGCACGGTAGTGAGTCAACACTCCCAAACAAAAACTGGATTTCCTGAAAAACAGATTAAGTTAATACAACAGGAGGGAAATGACTGTCAGCAAAGCAGCTGTGGGGGGGAGGAAAGAGACAGTAAAGAAAACGTTAAAGAAATCTCCAAGGAGAAAGGAATTGTAGAAGCTGAAAATATGGAAATTTTCCACGGTGAAACTTCCAAAAGAATATGCAAGATTGGAACAAAACTTTCAGGGACTCTTTTTCAGTGCACTAACAGTAAGGCTGTTCAGCTTGAGAAGTCCATGCCTTTCAGAATTAAATAGCAATCGTAGCAGTTCGACTTCAGCAAAACCCACTGCAAACATGGCGGTGGGACTAAGCCCCTTCTCCTCCCGCCGCCAAAGGCTCTCACCTCATATTTCCCACAAACCCCTCCGCGCGGTCCCGCTCGCCGAAACCTGCCCGGCCGATGTCCGGCCACTGCGCACGCGCAGGATAACGTCACGTGCATTCCCAGGGATCGACGGGGCTGGGAGGAGGGGCCTGCCAGCTTCCGCCGCCGCGTCGCTTCAGGGCTCGGACGGTGGGTTCGCGCTACCTCTGTCACCGCGGGGCAGACGGGGGACGCGGAGCCAGGCGAGGGGCGCGCGGCAGCGAGGCCATGGGACTGCGCCGGGTCTAGTGAGGGTAGGGAGCCGAGCGGCCCAGGCCCTGAGCGCGTCTCCTCCGGGGGGCCTCGCCCTCCTGCTCGCGGGGCCGGGGCTCCTGCTGCTGTTGTTGGCGCTGCTGCTGGCGGCGG